TTATTATTTTTTTTAAGATTTTATTTATTTGACAGAGAGAGACACAGCGAGAGAGGGAACACAAGCAGGGGGAGTGGGAGAGGGAGAAGCAGGCTTCCCGAGGAGCAGGGAGCCCGATGCGGGGCTCGATCCGCGGATCCTGGGATCATGACCTGAGCTGAAGGCGGACGCTTAACGGGTGAGCCACCCAGGCGCCCCGCATTTTTTTTAATTTACTAGAAGCCAACCAATTAAAGTGATTGTGTTTTTGCTTAATTAACTTTAATGCCAGGTACCAAGGACCCAAATAACTCTCTCAATTTCTTTACTAAAAGATTCTTAAAGAGCCAGCATTCTAAAATAAATAAATAAATAAATAAATAACCAATGGCTGTGAGGTTTTTGTTTAACAATATCACTGAAGTTATAGTACTATAAGATAGCATAATTTATATGATTTACCAATAAGCCAATGTTTCCCACACTTTAATGAATCATGCATCAACTTTCCCAACTTCCCCCACCACAAGTAGCACCGTGTATTACTATTTCTCTTTAAACAGACACACCCATTTAAATCAATTTATTCTAAAGTGTTTTATATCATTGCTGTTAACAGAAAACCAGTATCATTTGCCGTATAGAGTCTAGACATAAATGAATATTAAAATACATAATTTAAAATATTCAAAGATTTGTGCACACCACACATTGAGAAACAATGCTTCAAAATATCAAGTTTGGGGGGCGCCTGGGTGGCTCAGGCGTTAAGCATCTGCCTTCGGCTCGGGTCATGATCCCGGGTTCCTGGGATCGAGCCCCGTGTCGGGCTCCCTGCTCGGCAGGAAGCCTGCTTCTCCCTCTCCCGCTCCCCCTGCTTGTGTTCCCTCTTTCGCTGTGTCTCTCTGTCAAATAAATAAATAAAATCTTAAAAAAAAAAAAATCAAGTTTGGGCTAATTTTATAGAAAAACAGCAGACCAACTTGGGAAGTTAAATAAAATCCTCTTTAATCCAAAAATACTTCTAAATCATTTCTTTTTACTAAATCCTATGGTCATTAAATCTTTAAAGCCTGTCGAGAAATAATATGCATAAATTTCAGAAGCATTTTGAAATTTACAATGATATTTCTCTACTCAGATCATTTAATCTCTCTGATACATAAAAGGTGATTCTTCAAACAACAAATGGCTTAATATAGAAGGGCTACACCAGACTTTGAGTCACAAATTGGCTGATGGTCTTTCTCTGGGGACATTTGCCTCAGTTCTAAGTATGTGTTTAGCTGTGTTTTTAGGGGCTATTATTTCTCCAAAAAAGACTTATTATAAAACGCAACACATACACACAACCCATATATATCTAAAGATGAAACCTGTGCTCCTATTTTAATTATATTTATTTTCTGTGATCTGTAAAGTGGAAATACTCTTGAGAATTTGATTTGGTCATCTGAGAGAGTATTCTTTAATTGTGGCATTTGATTTCCTGTTATTTGTTTACTATTTTGCTTGTTTATAAAAGAGAAAACAGATGCTGAGAACAGCCTTTCCCAGTCAAGTACCACCACCAGAACACGGACATGATAGCTGTGGATTAGCATTCTGACCGTTGCTGAGTCAATTAAATTTCTTCAAAATAGAAGTTTCCAGAAAACAGATGTTATAACTTAAAAACAGTCTAGAAGCCCTAAAACTTACCAAATACGGAAGACTTAAACCAAAAGAGAAATTTTCCTTAAAATTTTCAGACAGGTAGTTCTAGCATATACAGAGTGCTAAATGGGGACGTTACAAAGATGTCCCTCTGTGTGATATGTGCTTTGGAT